AATATGAACGCACATACACAAATACTACCGTACCTCTCAATTACAGTTCCACTGTTGTGTCACTGTATATCTACTTTCCTTCATAAAAAAGGAAAAAAAGAAAAAAAAGAAAAAAGGTAGACATACAGTGACACAACAGTGGAACTGTAATTGAGAGGTACGGTAGTATTTGTGTATGTGCGTTCATATTATTTTCAGTTTTTACTGACTGTCCCAAGTGCCTGTGCTCTGGTGCGTCTTTCCTGATTACTTTCAGAAGTAGAGCATTACGTTTTGGGGAATACTTAAAGAAATTACACACCTCGTTGAATGTCCCCAGCAGAATATTTTTCGTTTATTTTTTTCTTTTAGTCAATTATTTCTCAATACTTTAGTTTTATTATTTTGGGGGAGGCTAAAGAGGGGATTCCGGAATCTGGGGGAATCCACGGTACCCCCATGCATAGATCAATGCTGCCGCACATCCGCAAAGTTACAAGTGCCTAGAATCTTTAAGTATATATACAGTTCACATTGCTTCTAGATATCTAACTGAATAAAAACAGTCCACTTTTTACGTTAAGAAAAGTGACGAATTCAGTTAACAGCTTTGATTACGTGCGTGTCAGGTGTCACTGGTCGTGCCCTCACTCCCGCGATAACCCCTGCAATATATAAACTTATTGTTATGCGGTCATAAAAACACTGGCATGCCGGCGATGCCCCAATCGATTTCTTAGACTAACTGTCGTGAGTTTTTGTTCGTAGAGATGGTGGCACAAGCAAAAACTTGGTGGGCTCGGGCCTCCGGGCCGGTGTTGCCGGCGGCACGGGAGCGATTTTTTCTCGTATCTTCCAAAATTTTCGCTCTAGTAATAATTATTGTTGTTACCAGAGCGCTTTGAAAGCTGACGGGAGCGAAATCGCTCGCCGCTCCCGTGTATTTTTTTCGCTGCACACAACTAAATGAGTTTACATGACTTGCATGAGTTTGCACAGGCACTTGGAGCGTTTCAATAAATTATAATCTTTTACATAAAGGGCGAGTCTGTTTTTCGGTCTGTCTGTCTATCTTCTCTCCCCCCCCCCATAAGAGGTGACCCCCAACACCATATATTCTGAATCAGCATGACGCGACGACCATTTTAGGCCAAAAACATTTGACGCAAAAAATTTGACAACAAAAATTGACAAAAAAAACGTAGCGGCCTCTTCTTCCTCGACACTCCTGGCGGAACAGGCAACACCTTTTTCTGGCCAAGGTCAGGCAGACGAGGAAGATTGCCCTGGCAGTTGCTTCAAGCGGCATTGCTGCCACCCTGCTGGACGGAGGGCGCACTGCTCACTCGGCCTTCAAGCTGCCATTCTACCTGGCAAAGGGGCAAAATCCAACCTGCAACATCAGCCNCTACCAGCAAAGATGACACAGTAAAACTACCAAAGCGAGAATGTGGTGAATAAGAATTTCATCGATTTCAAAGATTCTCTTCTTCTTTAGGGTCCCTCTTCTAACTTGCACATCTGGTAGTTTTGTATATTTTAGAAGTTAAACAGATTGGTAGGTTTGGTATCTGTGGTTGTTAAAGAAGCACAGGTATAGCAGTGGATGGCCAGTATACCTGCTGTAATAGAACACATCTACATATTGTCATTTTGTACCCATAAAATTAGTAGAATACAGTAGTAGTACGCATTTGTCTACGTTGTCGACCCTTGTTACGTCTGGTAACGTTTTGATAGTGTATAAGTGCCTGCTTCACGGTCAAATAGAAACTTTGCGGCTGGAGATCTGTCCTTATGTCCAGTTTAAGGCAGAAAACAATTCCAGTACTGGTGTATATATTGTACACTATACCTTATTACATTATGATGATTACACTAAATGTTTATTTGACTTTATCCAACAGGCATTTATGGTGATTATGATGATGAAGATGAAGAAGAGGATGATGATGATGACATGATAGAAGTCAGCAAAGGTTTCAAACTCTATAAACAGCTGTATGACAAACTTTACCCTTACCAACGGGAAGGAGTGAGTTGGTTTTGAAGCTGTTCGTGTCTAAAAAAGGGTGGCATCATGGGAGATGACATGGGGTAGGCATATGTCAAATATTCGTGTATACTGTTTAGTAATTAATGAAGATTAAATTAGAAGGTTCATATGAGATCAATCTTATTTTTAATGTCTATCCATTTAAATAATATAAAAATACTCTAGACATTATGTAGAGAATAGTTTCACTATATATAACTTAATGATGATAATTTAAACCCTACATGCATATATTTATCTTTATAGAGTTATCTGTGTGTTTCATCATTATGTAAAGTGACTCATTGGATATTTTGCCATGACTATGCACATGACTAGTTATCATTTAGATTTTTGATGAACTGAATCACAGTTGTCCTTTCTAATCAGAGATTAGGTCTATATTGATATTTTCTTTATTGAGCCCTTATACCTGCTCAAGCCCTTATTCATATGTATATAAATGTCTGTAGATGCCTGTAGATAAATGTCTTTTCCATGGACTCTTATTTTGGATATACAATGGAAAGCTATTTCTGCTTGTTTGTTCTAGCTTAGGTAAAACGATCCAGGTGATTGCCTTTCTTAGCGGCATGTTTGATGCTGAACTCATTCGGTCTGTGCTGATCACCATGCCAGTCTCTCTTCGATACCAAACTGGGAGAGGGAAATGGAAAAATGGCAAGTAACATATGTGACGAATAAACGTTCCCATGGTATATGTGATGTTTAATTCATGTTAGATTTGATATATGCATTATTTGGCTCATTATTATATTTAGTATTGAATTGCAGTGTACTAAATTAATGTTCATACATGAAATATCTTGTATGAACTGGTGTATTCTAAATAGAATTCTTCACCACTGTGAACTGCCCCAAGTATCTACCCGCATGCAAGTGTGCACAGGTACATCACCAATAGATGCAGGTATGCACACATGCACGAGCACACACACACATACACACACATACGCATGTATACACATACACACACACACATACACACACATGCACACCTGTCACAATGACATACCACATATGATCCCAGATCTGAGTACATCGGCCACTTTGTTTAGTTTCTTCATGTATGTAAGGTTTAGTGTTAGTGCTCTATATGGCACAGGGCACCTGGGATGAGAGTGCTAGCATACCATGGCACAAGCAAGCGGGAGCGGGAGCGAGTCCTGGACAAGGTGCAGCGAAGTGGAGGAGTGATCCTTACCACATATGGCATGCTGATCTCCAGCTGGGAGGAGCTTGGCAAGCACCGTCACCGGCCATTCACCTGGGTGAGAAATAAGTAGCTATTAGTATATCTATCAGAGTGTAATGATGCATCGAACCATCAATTAATTGCAGTAGTGTTTAGGTCGATAACAATGCTTAGATGGCAAAGTGAAACATCGATAATTATTTCGAATAGTTCACTGAACAATTGATAGTTTTCGATAGTTGCAACATTAAAACACCAGGTTAGTTTACTTGCACTAAAGATGTGTTCTTGTGCGTGAATATGCCTGAAAACCACTGCTGACACTTATTATTGTAAATAATTAGACTGGTCCCCAGTCATCACTGCATGGTCTTAGCATGGTCTTTTCAACTAGCTCACTCGCTATGTGCGTGAGTGGAACTTTAGTGCAGGTGATAAATTATAGTATTATATGCATGCTTGTTCAGGTCCATGAAATGAAGTGGAATGTAGTTCTATAATAGTGTATGTAAGTGTAATAGTAATCTATGTTTACTATCACATGATAGGAGGTGAGTGGTATGCCCTTTAGCACTGTACTGAGAGAATGTGCAAGTCTGTATGTCAACAGATTGCATTTTGTATTTCAGGACATGGTGATTTTGGATGAGGGGCACAAGATTAAGAATTCAACAAAGTCATCCAAAGCAGCACATGCCATTCCTGCTAAGCTGCGATATGTGCTGAGTGGCACACCTCTTCAAAATGATCTGAAGGTTGGTATAGGGTTGATTGCAAGAAATGAAACATAGATGGTATGCGTGCATGCATTCTTTGTCAGCTTCTAACATTAACAGATGCTTCTTTGAGTTTAACCGTCTTACATGTATTAGTAGATGTCATACATATTAAAGGAATATCTATAATAATATTTATATATTAATGCCTGCTGTTGGGGGCACTATGCTCTCATAGTGTTGCTGAGGGAAGGAAAGTGCCCTCGCGCTACGCTCGGCACTATTCCTTCCCCTCAGCAACACTATGAGAGCATAGTGCCCCCAACAGCAGCATTAACGTTTTTAGTGCATCACATGACTATGCAATCTACTTTTCATGCGTATATACTTCTTATACTCCCTAATTTGCCGGTGCAGTTTCGATGTAACAAAACGCTCGACACAAAACACAATCGCCATTAATTCCAAAATCTTGCGTGGCGCCCAGACGCAGGAGATTCGTGACGTAACACAATGCGTTATAATAACAATGCGGTCGCGCAAGCGATAGTGCCCGCTAAGGCGGGCACTATCTCTTCATAATGCCTGCTGCGTTATCCAATGAGATTGCAGCGATTCATCACGTCATGCACTAAATATCGTTTCTCTTGTTTTTATTTAAATGTGCTTCTTTGTGCGCAGGAGTTGTGGGCCCTGTTCGACTTCGTTCACAAAGGAACACTGCTAGGAACATGTAGAACGTTCAACATGGAATATGGCAATCCCATCAAAAGAGTGAGACATAGCTTAGCTAGCTACCACCTTTATTGATATTGCAGGGCAGACAGTATATAGTTAATTAGTCAATAACCAATGCGTTAGTTTCTTGGTTTATACGTCTGCCATAAGTTCTTCCACCAGTCAGATAGCCAGGCAGCAATCTTGTCAACCATTGTTGAGGCCGTTTATTACCTAGACCAACATAAGTCAGTTGTATAAAGTCGGTCAATTAGTCGCCAAAAAAGCTAAAAAAAGTACACTGTTAGCATGAATTTGGCTTTTGACAGTCAAGGGAAAAGGACGCTACGATGGGAGAGAAGCGTCTTGGAGCAGAGATGGCTGAGAGTTTACGACACCTCATTAAACCCTACTTCCTACGACGCACTAAAGCAATGGTGCTAGAAGAGAAATCAGATAAAGAGAACCACCCAGCCAATGATCAGAAGCCTGCCACCAAACACAAGATAGTGTATATATGATGCAGCTCTTATTGTTTACCCCTGTATGTGATGGTGTTAGTTGCACAGTATTTAGGTGCTTGGTGGAATTTACAAACTTCGACTGAGAGACCAGATCTAGTTTATTTGATTAGACAATTCTAATATTGGCTATAGTTTTTCACAGATGTGGACTAAATATACAATTTTGGGGGCTTGTAAATTGTGATATATATGTATATCTCGTCTCAAGAGTTTGTACTTGCTTGGTATTTTAGGCCATTCAAGTTGACACAGAAGAATGAATTCATCGTTTGGTTGTTCCTGTCAGACTCACAAAAGCAAATTTACAGTGATTTTATCTCCCTTGATAGAGTGAATAAGGTACGGTATACATCTGTTTTAGGTAGAGCAAAATGAATGAGATTTCTAAATTTTTATGATCAACTATAAGCTGTGCGGTGGTAAACGAACCTGTAAAGCCTAGCACAGACCTGCGACTTTTCGTTGCTCGATCGTCACTGCAACCTGCAACCGCAAGCGATCGGTGGATGTGTCACCGCGTGTGTGCACACATGCGATTTTGAAGCAATTCTAGAGCAATTTGTGAGCGATTGGGAGTGACTATAGTCGCTCAAAATCAAACGAGTTTGATTTCTTGCAACTTGTCGCAAGCGACCAGAATCGTTATGGGTTGCAGTTGCACATTCCCGCAGACGTAGCGATTTCACAGCAATTTTTACAGCGATTCCAGAATCGCTGTCAATTTGTATGAAAAAATCGCAGGTCTGCGCTAGGCTTAAGATTTGCTTGGTTAGGTAGGCAAAATAACAGCTATAGGTTCTTTTTAAGATGTAACAGTTTTGGAAGTCACGTAAATGTTGACAATTTGTTGTAATCTTAATTGATGTGTGTTTCACAGATCCTTATGACCAGCCGGTCTCCTCTAGTGGAGCTCACCGTCTTAAAGAAGCTGTGTGATCATCCGCGCTTGATGTCCAATGCGGCATGCAGCCAACTTGGTCTCGATGGACAGGATGGGTAACTGATGTGTTACACTACACAATACTGGATAGAAATAATTATCAATATTCGAATTAAAGGCCAGACATGCACCATCTAAATAGCGCACTCTTAGGCTGTGTATATACTCTTCAACAAAAATTATAATATATGTGAAAAACAACATGTAATAATAATAATAATAATAGGAAAAGTATAGCAGAAGTAATTGTTATTGCTAAGAAAGACTCTAGACTAAGTGTATAAAAACTATAAACGTTTTACTATATTAATGGTTGAGTGCTTTGCCCGGTAAGGAAATGAACAAAGCTGGTCATAATGTGCTCCTAAATATATCATAAAAGTAATATAAGAGTAAGTGTATCTTATATGTTTAGGTCATAACTGTTATTTCATGTTTTCAGTAAAACGTTAAAATCCACAATGTTATGTTAACCACTAGTTAGCCAGTGTTGTAAAAAAACTTCACATTGCTAGGCAGAAAATCTGTCTGCGCGCAATCTATACTGAATTACAAAAGACTTGGCATGTAATCAAGAGCTAATAATACCTATTACCTACGGTATTATTAGCTCTTGATGTAATGCAGGTATGATAAACGGCTGTAGTTATGTAGTTATATTTATCATTTGGTCTGAGTGATGATCGCCGATCGGTATTAGAGATGTAGTGCGTCTCGCTCGTGGCAGATTGGACCTGGACGACGACGCCCTGGCGAAGCCCGCTAACAGTGTGATGCGCATCGACCATGTTGAAGATGCGGTGCTCATCGCCGAGTCGGGAAAGATGGCCGTTCTTGTCAAACTCCTTGACAACCTGAAGCAGCAGAACCATCGGTGCCTCGTGTTCTCACAGAGCAGAAAAGTGTTGGACATCATCGAACGGGTTCTGAAAAACAAGGTACGATCTTGATGCGTTGAGTTTGGTGGATTTTAGTGATAGTCACTTGTGCAATGTGGTAACTCTTGGAATTTGACGTCTATGGGTGGATGGATGATTAGGAGTCACATTGTATCACCCATGTGGTTTTATAATTTGATGAGTCTCTGTTTACAATTATTGCTTGAGATCCAGTGTTTGGCTATGAATCAAGAGGTGGTTAATTTTGAGTGTAATCTCTGTATTTATAGTTGCACATCTTCTAAACACCATCCACCTTGGAACTGTCTTAAACTACATATGAAATCATTATCGTTATACCTAATTTTTATGATATAAATTTCAGAAATATGCTTGCAGCACATTCAATTTAGTGGTCGAACCAGGAGTATGCTATTATTGCAGGGGTTCAAAGTGATGAGGATGGATGGAACCATCACCAAGACGCAGGAGCGAGAGAGGAGAGTGAATAAGTTCCAGCGAGATCCGTCCTACTCTGTATTTCTGTTAACCACTCAGGTGGGAGGGGTTGGCCTTACTCTGACCGGTGCTGATAGGGTCGTCATATGTAAGTGTGTTCTTGGAAAAATTATTTAAGTATATATGTGAGTGCCTAATTGTACTCTATAATTTAATATGTAATTTTAAGAGAGGACTTCTGATTCTAATCTAACTAAGCTAGTGCTTGAAAATCCTGGGCCATAAACGTCCTAAGATAGTTACCTAATATAATCCAGATTCTCAATTTTATTTGTTGGATGTGCCACTTCAGAGTTGATTCGCACTGAAAATACAGTCAAACTCATGTTAGCAGTCAGCTCTATAGAATGGATACCGGTCTATCAAGGAAACATTTGGCATTTCTCTTTAGTGACAGTTATGCATTGAAAACCCACCTCTATAGCACAAACACCCATCTATAAAGAAACGCAGTGGCTGGAGGTACGGCAGCCGTCGTTCGTTGAAGCCCCTTTTTGGCATTAGGGTTAGGGTTGGGTTAGGGTTAGGGTTCTAGCTCATCTAAACTCTCAAATCGTGAATTTATTTCCCAAGGCGTTATTTCGAAATCTGGCGCCACCCGCCGCCATCTTTGTCTCGTTAAATATGAAAGCGAATGGACTGCCGTACCTCCAGTCTCGAGACATTAAGATACGGCTGCCGTACCCGTAGCCACAGCCATAAAGAAAACTGGGCGTTTTGCTTGAGTGGCAGTCAAGCGTTCAAAACCCAGCTCTATGGAATCGACACCTGCCTAATATGGACACACTTAGCAGGGCACGAAATTCAGATTTTTTGCACTGGCCCAGAGGGCTGGTAACAGCAATTTTTTACCAGTCCTCACCACAATTTATCAGCCCTCACAAATTTTGTTCGTAAACTCAATGTCATGTTTTACGCTTGCATTCTTGATTTCAAATTTGTAAAATGTTGATAAATTATGGCGTGATATCCTTCAGGTAAAACAGTAACAGGGTTTCTTCTGAGGGAAAATTAGACAAAGGAGGTAATGGCCAGTTTGGAAAAAAATGCGCATGATGGATTCAAATACAGGATGTATTGATATATTTATAGGTATATAGATACAGGATATACTTATTAGTAAATACAGGAACATCTTCACATCGGCGATGTTAAATTTGACAACGGCGGTGCGCCACTGTGCCTCCTATGTATAAGAAACCCTGAGTAATGTAGGGTATTTGCTCATTAATACTAGAAATAAAAATGTAGGTACTCGCTAACACGGCTGAAACCACCGGCTCGGAGGGCCGGTGTTTTGCCAATGTTACCGGCCCTCCAAATAATTTGCCGGCATATACTGGTGGCCGTGCTAATATCACGCCCTGCTAATAGCGTATCACTGGAGTGACGGACACGCGTGCAAGTCTGAGCGTATCTGAGGAATTGTTCCTGCACGAATCGTTGCAGACGATCCGAGCTGGAATCCGGCGACGGATGCGCAGGCCGTCGACCGCGTGTACAGGATTGGTCAGGACAAGCCTGTCGTCGTCTACCGCCTCATCACGTGCGGCACCGTCGAGGAGAAGATCTACAGGAGACAGATCTTCAAGGACTCGATCACGCGGCAGACGACGGGAGGCGTACAGAACCCCTTCAGGTACGACGTCGACGACGACGGCGATGGGCAGTACGCGGGGCGCATGTGTCATGTATTGCCGCAGCACGTCGCAGCATGTACGATTCACAACTGTTGTGGGTAAATCCCCGGTATAGCTCACGGGTTCGTGAGTGTTATTGGTGGTGGAACTATAATGCTGGGATGACAAATGGGTTACTTTAGCTTTTAGAGAGGAGGAGATTACCAAAAAATTACCTGCCAAAAATTATCTACGGTATATGAAATGTAATAGATAGAAATGGTTCAGGTGTATTACGTATTACGTATATGAATTTGATATATCCGTGCATATGCGTGTGCATGTGCGCATGTGCTGGTGCATTTTTGATGGGTCAGGGATTTTGTATCACCATTGTATCCCATATGTGATGTGTTTCGTATTAGAGATATCCATTTCATATACTCCTCTCAGTTTGTTCAAGCAATATTGATGGCATGTGTGTGTGCATGTGTGCGTGCGTGCGTGCGTGCGTGCGTGCGTGCGTGCGTGCATGCGTGCGTGTGTGTTTTCTCCATGTGTAGTTATTTATCTACACGAGATGGCTTTGTTTCTATGATGTTGCAGGTACTTTTCCAAGCAGGATCTGTATGAACTGTTTTCCCTCGATGATCCTTACACATCCACCACACAGATTCAGCTAGAGCAAATGCACTCGAATCAGCGCAAGACATACACAGAACTGGACGAGCATGTGGCATTTTTATACTCGCTAGGTATGTGCATTATTTAGCTTTTTCTACTCTCTTTTTTCCCTTGCGCAAAAAGAAGGACTGTATAAGATTGAGTATTAGCAATACTTTATTGGTGGCCACAATCTTTTACTCATTGTGTTGGCTTGCGGTGTGCTTGTTACCTGTACTTGCGTCGTTTAGTTTTTAGATGTTTTTGTTATACTGCAGACATATTTGGGCTGAGCGATCACGACCTGATGTTTAGCCAAGAAGACGCATCTCACTCAGATGTTGAGGATGAAAAGGAGATAGATTACATCAAGGCCAGAGTGCAGAAGGCTCAGCAGACCGTACAAATGGAGGCTAACATGAACGTAGACCTCTACGATGGGGCTGCGGCTCAGGGCCCTGTAACTGGAGCAGACCAAGTACGCTACAAAGTCATATCTGTTAGTCTGTGTCTTCTACCACCCAAGCACGACACAGGGTTATATATTTTAGTCGACGTCTACCTTCAAATCAGATACAATGCTTTATCTGTTTCTCTTCTTCTTATCCTCTTGGTCCCCCAATGGGACATAAGGTTGTAGATATATCTGTTGGCCCGAGAATACATCCAAAACTGTGGTGTGCTGTACATCAAATTTTCAATGCTGCTCTCTACTGTGGCGTCGCTACATTTAATGAAAATCATGATAGCTGGGGCATTAGCTCTGTCGTATAACATTGCATGCTGATGTTGCTTCAGATCGTAAGCGCAGCCTCTTCTCGACCTGAACCAGGGTCAGGAAGATATAAACCCTACGCAATGGAAGTTCTGACTGAAATACTTCAGCAGAGTTTTGCCAACTATGACAGTAGACCTTACAGATGACGATCAGTCAAGTGCCATGGTATATCCATTAGTTCTCTTTAAACCATTTTGCAAATTTATGTGCATATTTATCTGTGGCCACAAGTGCAACTGGCACCATAATACAGTGCATACAACCAAGCATTCTTTCATTAGCTTCTGTGATAAGTTGATTGAGAATTGGCTTGCTCCGATTTTCTTCAGAGTGACAATGATTACGGCATTGTTGCGGGAACGCCTGACATCTCTGCGAGCAAGCATCGGGCTTCGGGGGAGAGCGGCATCTTTTTCCCCAATTCACCGGACATTTCCACCAACTCGCCAGTCCAGCAAGCAGGGAACTCACTAGTTGTGGCCGACTCTGTTGAAAACTCACTCAACATCAGGGAGTCTGTCGGCGGCAGTCCGTCGATGGAGCAGGAGGAGGATGCGGCGACGACGTCCCTGTTGCAGGCGATGAGAGATGAGGACACTCTTGCCTGGCAGCTGCTACGCACGAAAACGCCACCCGGCTCGCCATCCCGGCACGACGAGAGACACGAAGAAACTTCTCGTGTGCTCTCACGTACACCTGCTGATATGCACCTCGAGAGCTCAAGAGGCAAAGTTCAATCCACTGCCGAGCCAACGGATAGTGCAATCGACACACCTTCCACACATTCCCCACGTGGTGGATCAAGTGACGACATGTACGATCCACGGGCTTCGTCGCTAGACAGCGACGGGAGTGTCTACAATACGCCTGACAGCTCCAAGCGCAGCAATGAGACGGCAGACGATACTCCTATTCGATGGCAAAAGCGTTACAGACGGGCTGTCATTGAAAGCGATGAATCTGATGACTCCGAATGTGGTATGATATATGACAAGGACAGTAATCGCCAAGGTACACGAGAACAAGATATATGCAAGATGATTTGAGGCGAACATGAATAGAGAGTCTCTAGTCTTCGTGTGTGCTTGATAATTATATGACCATCACATGTGATATATTAATACCTTGTTCAGAAATTGCGTATGCAAACCAAGATGTTTTTTTTCGTTTTTGCTACATTTTGCAGATACTGAGTCACCTAATGAGGAAGAATTTGATAAAGGCAATCGCCAGACAGAGCAGATAAATGGGAAAAGAGAGACGTTTGCGGCAGATGGAAAGGTACATGAGACAGACGAGGAGGATGGAACAGATATGGAGGGAGATCTACATGACAGGGATAAGGAGGAAGGCATACAGGAGACAGATGAAGAGAGAGAGGAACATGAGGCAGATGAGGAGGAGGGAGAGGTGCAACAACATAGCATCAATGAAGACCTTGATGAGACAAATGAAGAGACAGAGGTACATGAGACAGACGAGGAGACAGAGGAACATGAGACAGATGGGGATGCAGAGCTACAGGAGACAGACGATGAGACAGATGGGGATGCAGAGGTACGGGAGACAGACGATGAGACAGGTGGGGATGCAGAGCTACAGGAGACAGACGATGAGACAGATGGGGATGCAGAGGTACGGGAGACAGACAATGAGACAGATGGGAGTGCAGAGGTACGGGAGACCGATGAAGAGGCAGATGGGAGTGCAGAGGTACGGGAGACCGATGAAGAGGCAGTGGGACAGGATACAGATGAAGGGGAAGACTTACAGGATACAGATGAAGAAGGAGAAGAACTGAAAGAGGCAGATGCAGACATACCTGAGTTGCAAATGCATCGATATGCACAATTAAAAAAGAATGCTCAGTAAGTTCATGATTGTCATAAATTATTTTGGGTAATGCCTCTCATTACGAATTCTACGTTTTATTTTCACGTTTTCATAGTACAAGTATATTACTACTAGTTCATGTAGTTCCAATCGGGGCGGATTTCTTTATAATTATAACCATTATTTTCACTGCTAGAAAACTGTTCATCAGTTTCAAGAGATAAAATCTGAAGTTGACGAATAAAACTAATTACACTCAGCTTTGATACTCTGTCAGTTATCAACCTTAGTTTGAGCAATTGATAAGATAAGATGTAATTTTTTCTTATTCTCTTCATGACATGTTGAGCATGATTTTATATCTTTACTTTTCAGTACTCTCCACGGAGAAGGCAAGCTAGAGGAGGCGCTAGTGTACGCAATGCAAGCTCTACAGATCAACTCTTCTGAAATGAAGCTACAGCTATTTGCTCTGCAGCTCAAAAAGCAGTTGGACGAAGCTCCACATTAAACGTTGTAGTTCCCTGTTATTTTTACGGATTAAACATTATTTATGTTCAACTATAGGTAAATCAGGATGTAATTTTTTAAGCAAAAAACTCATTACAAACCAGATTCACTTTCCTTTGTAACTAGATGTTTTTGTAAAAATATTAACATCCTTTCCTTCATTTACTCCACAATATTCATGTTTTGGTAAGAATGTGATGAAGCTTCCTGGTTTATAGTGGTTATTAGTGGCAAGACGTTTCCAAAAGGTTGATTACTTACTGAATTATAACCTAGCACGGTTATAACTGGTATATATCTACATATATGCTTGGTATAGTGAAAAGGATATTTAGTACTAGTAGATGTGTATCTAGTGTGGTACATTTACTACTGGATTGTTATTTCTGTCTCAGGATCCAAGTTTGGACACGAAATAGTGTGATACCTAATACCTTTGTTGTGATTGTTAATTGTTTGAAAAACGTTTATGTATTCATAGAACAATAGCTAGACCTTTATGTAGACTGACATTTGAATGTCATTTGCCAATGAACATGATGGAAGAGGTGATGTGATGATGAGATTTGAAAATAGTTACAAATGATCATGGAATAATAAATAACTTGTATATTATCTTGACAACGTAAACAATCTATACCGAATCACTCGACTTGTGCATTTATTTGATAACAGGTTCATAAATATATATACATAATATACAACAACTTTGAATCACATTTGCATAGCAGCTTGACCTCCAGTATTCAATATCCGGACGCACATCCATGTCCGGTGGTGCATGCCACCTGGGGGACATCGGCCTGCAAGATTAGCATGAGATTTATCCTGCAGACGTCATAAGTAGGTAGGAAGCACTGGACAGGATGTGCTGTCATGTCACATTCTCTGACACAAACCCCACGTCAGTGTCAGAGCACGATTTACGCGGTGATTGTATAACTAAGTTTACGCTACCAAATTCTACAACACATGCGTGATTCTCTAAGATAAAATAATCACTATATAACATTCATTGTCAACAGTTTCTAAGAAATTCAACTAATAAATGCTCAATTGTCAAATTGTTCTAGCAATTATGTTACAGAGAAATCAGGTAAACTCCCCATAAAAACTATTCAATATACAATAGACTTTTCTAACAACATTTTTTTAAACATTCTGCAGTTTAGCCTCATTCATATCAGGGCTGAGATTTTCTTTTGTTGGTGAGTATTTTGAATTCACCTACAATTCTAAATCCACCCTTATTTACATAACACAAAGTAATCTCTGTGCATTGTGCAGAGGAGATTTACAAAGGAAGTCTATGTTGTAAAGGTAATTTCGTGTTAAAAGCGAGTAAATTGCAGTACACAATGGTGAGAAAATGCATGAAATTTCGAGAAATTCATGAAATGCAAAGCATCACTGACAAACATAAGGATGCCACCGTACTTCCATTAAGCCTCGTCTTGATACTACCAAGAGTAAGATAATAACCCAAATAATTAAGAAATGGGTTAATATCTTACTCTTGATACTACCACCCTCTTTCTTCTAAGATGTAATCTTTTATATCCTCTGAAAGATTCATCATCTTAGCTTCATTCATGAAAGTGCCCCTATTGCCGAAGCCGTGTACATAGCCTGTAAGGCGTGTTGCGATCGGTGAAGTGACCAGCTCTTCCTCGTGCATTGCTAGCAGCTCAACCAGCGAGCGGTGTCTCTTCAGCAGGAACTTCTGATGATAACTGCAACAGGATGCAAGATAATAAATTTACAACACAAAAGCAGGACTTGGTACAAGTGGTTGGCAAGATACTAATTTGACTGAACGAAAGCTACAAGTAAACTTAATATTCAGCAAAATGTAATTATAGGCCCTACCAACATTTTTTTAATGCACCCACAATAACCATCACATCCCGTTTTGCTCTACAGTAGAAGATAAGTTATATGTGACTGTAGATCGATTTCTTTGTGCCTAACAAATTGATAAGATTTTTCAATCAAATCCTTAAATACATTGCGAATCATTACTACTGCACAATAAACTAAATAGGCCACTGTGGGTCATTGCTGTGGTTTATAAGACAAGCAGATATATCAGTGTGAAAATGTAAATGATCATTCTAACAGGGCCACAACTGGTCAAAAGGCAACTAACAAGGAGAGCAGGGACTCAGACTCTATAGATGTAAATAAATAACAGACCATGCCACCATGCTGAGTTTTGAATAAATAGAAGGAATTAAACACTCACTGCTCTGCCTGGTAGAATTTCCCAGCAGAGTGAATGCCGAGGACGATTGGTCTTGCACTGCTTTTCTGCTGCATAGTCAGGCTCGCCTTTGCAGCCCTCTTTTGTGCCTCGTTGTGGTACCAGATGCCCGACATGTACTGTCGGCTGAAGTTATGGTGTGGACGCGCTAACTGCCAGAACACCTTCAGCATATCCTCGTAGGAGCACAGATTCGAATCAAATACAACCTCGATGGCTTCAGTCTGGTCACCACTACAAGTAAACATTTTAGTGTTTGGGGTTATGCAACAAATTTAGTCAGTGCTGTCTACTATGTATACATAATAATATGTGAATGCAAACAGGATGACAGTAACTACCAAACTAGTGAATGCTCTATTTATTGTTTATACATAAGTGGCAGTATCTCTCTCACAAACAAGTGCCGCGGAGCGACAGCGCTCATCTAATGTCTACTGCGGTGACTCTGTGGTGGAGTGGTGGGATTCTAGTAAACCTTGTTAGTCCCAAATGTGTTCACATACACGCCGAAACAGTGGAATGCACA